GGGGGAAGGGGGTATTACTGCTATGAGACAACTTTAGTAATGCTTTGTCTAACCCAAGACAAGATGACATTTGTCTCAGATGGAAACGTCTCGCTGAAAGCCAGTCCTGTACAGGTCAGGATGAATTCCGCTGCCATTCCCTACCTTAGGGATAATTGACACTATAGCGAGTGATGACTATTACAATCATCGGAGTTTCCGTGTTCCAAAAGTTTTCTGAATCATATTTGTATTTTTTTGGCAATTTTCATTTTTTAGTCGATGCACCAACTTTACGACTTTTAGAGTCCAACCGTGTTCTTCAGGTGCACCTCATTTCTCTCACCGTATCTGAAGTCTCACGATTAGCAGCTGCGCTCTACGAGATGAGAATCATGGAAAGATCGGGTAACTATCCTCTGAACTCCTGCTTTGCGATCATAGTACATTACTTTAACAGTTTATCACAACGTGTGTCCCGACGCCTTTATGGTTAGGGCACTAGCGAAAGGCATATCTTTGACTCCTGATTTTCATGCACTAAGGTCATATGTCTTGGAAACAATTCTCAGGACTTTGTTGGTGTCTTGAGTAGCTTCGTCCATGTGCTATAGCCCAAGTTCCAGATGATTTCAAAACATAGATGCGATATGCTTGTTCAGTTGATCAAACACCGCCGGAAAAAAGCCGATCAAGATCGGGGCTGAGTTTCAGGATTGGGTTCAAAAATGTAGACAGCGACATTCTGAGGTGCATTGTTCGATAACTGCGCTAATTATTGAGATTCATGTCACTAGCGATAATGAGATTTCTGAGCGAACAGTTCCACAATGTTTGTAGAAACTGAAGTGATTAGAACTTCACCAGCGTTACAGGTACTAATGTGACCTAGTCACAGTATACGCCGTCCATGTGGGAATGAGCCGGGATGAGCCCCACAATTGTGTCCCCCCATCTGTACGTTTTTGTAAGACGCTAAGGCTGCGTTTATACTTTGCGGCAGCGTAGCGTAGCGCTTCCAGCGTACGCCAGCGGCAGTGCCGAAGAGAGGATGCATATCGATCTAGCTTCACCAGCGTCACCAGCGCACGCTGGCGTAGCGAGGGCACGGGAAGCATAGCTATCGATCTAGCTTCACCAGCGTCACCAGCGCACGCTGGCGTAGCGAGGGCACGGGAAGCATAGCTATCGATCTAGCTTCACCAGCGTTTCTAGATCGG